TTTTAGGTTCACAGCAAAATTAAGCGGAAGGTGCAGAGATTTCCCATATATCCCCTCCCCCACCTCCCCACCTCCCCCTCCCCCGCCGCCAACACACAGCCTTGCCCACTAGTGACACGCTCACTAGATGGTACACTTGTGAGCATGGAGGAACCGACACTGACACGTCATCATTACCCAGAGTCCGTAGTTTACGTTACGTTAGGGCTCCTTGGCGGTGTGCATCTTGCAGGTTTGGACACATCCAATGTCCAGTGTCCAATGACATCTCCACCATTACGGCGTCACCCAGAGTAGTTCCACATTTCTCAGTACCCCTCGCTGCTAGGGTCAGACAGACGCCCCAGGGTGGCCGGTGGCTGTGAGCAAGCGTGCTGTGTGCAGCCTGCGCGCTGGGCCTTGAGCGGAGGGGCGAGCCCTCCCTGTGCCCTCCCACCCTCGCTGGCTGGGCTGTGGCCTGGTGCTGGCTCAGCCATTGTGGAAGAAGTGAGCAGACCGCTGAAGGCACTGTCGCTTGGGCTCTCTGCATAGCAGCAGCCAAGTCTCCATCCGGCCAGGCACCCCACGTCCCCACCCAGCCGTCCTCCAGTCACCTCGAAAGGCCCATCGTGTGATTGTTTCTAGGAGAATAAGGTGAAGCTGAGGATGAGCCCATCACAGAGGGGCCCACGGGCACCTGGCACTTGGGGTCTAAGCAGAGGTGACTTCAACAAGTCCAGGCTCGCTTCTTACTGAATCAGAGGTGCCCGAGGAGAGAGGGGCCAGGGAGCTGGAAGGACTGGCCTCCGGGTGGGAGGCAGCCGGGCCCTTGTGAGAAGCGGGTGGCTGAGGGAATTCCTCTGTCCTCGGAGCACTGTGAATATGCACAAGGTCAGCTCCCGTGAAGGCTGTGAGCGAGAGGCTGCAAGGTCTGCCCTCAGACCACCCCTGTGCCCCCAGGGAACCCAGGCTTGGCAGGAGGCTTGTTAGTTTTCAGGGGAATAAGGACTAAATTTGTTTTCCACCCACAAACTAAAACAAAAAAAGATGCTTCGTCCAGAAAGAAATGAGGGTGGCTGCCCTCTCCTCTCTGCTCGTCTGAAGACCACAGTGCCCCGTCCTCATCCAGAGGTCAAGGACGCCTCTCCAGCGAAGGCTGGCTGCAGCCCTCCGCTCTGCCCTTCCTGTCCAGCTCTGTCATCTGAAGTGAGGCCAGTTTCTGGCATCAGTGGCTCTCTGGCGTTGCCTTTTGGGGGCAGGACTTTCTCAGTGAGCTCTCCACCCTGGACTCTTCTTAGGGACAGTGGACTGAGCCCACGGTCCCCTTCTGTCCTCCAGGGGGTGTGGCCACATCCTGCTGTGTGTCCCCCACCTGGACTCTGCTGCCCTGACCTGTCGGTGCTGGGACCGGCACATCCCAGAGCCATCACCTTCCTCCTGCTCCCAGAGGAAGGCTGGAGCCTCTGTCTTGGTGGTTTTTCAGACTTCCAGGGTATCATCAGAGCAAGAAAATGGCTGTGCTTTATTCAGCCTCTCTCTGCCTCCATGATTCTGTCTTTTGACTGCCTGCTTACTTGTTGCTCTGTGCCCCTGTCTGGATAGCACCTCGAACGCAGCCTCTCCCGCCCACCTGTCCATTCGCAGAGCCACTGTGTCAGGGCTTGTTCAGGGAGAGTTTGCCAGACAATTGCAGAACCTTCCAACCCCCCCACCCCCACCTCCAGTGCCCAGAGCGCAGGCCGGGGACGACCTCTACCACCCCACCTGTTCGCTCAGCTCCTCGCCACCCAGAACTCCAGTCTCCCCCTCATCACAAAGTCTCATCATCTGGTCCCCACCCATCTCTCCGGCCCTGCCGGACGCTGAGATCCAGCTGAGCAAAGTGGCTCCTGCTCTGGTTCCTCAATGACCTTTGCAGACTTGAGTCGTCCAACAGGCCTCCCTCCCGTCCTCTCCCCGGTGACACCCTTCGAGGGTGCCTGAGCCCTGAGGCACCTCACGGAGCACCATGACCTGCAGGGTTGTGGCTGAGGCATCGGTCTGTGGGATCCGCCTGTCTCCCTGGTCACCCACCTGGGGTTGGGGCCTGTGCATCCTTCCTCCTCATCCCCTCTGGGACGTCACTTAAAGTCTTGCAGGTAATAAACCTTCAATGATTATTTGTTGAAGGAATGAATAACCTGTATAATAGGGATTCTTTTTGGTAATTACCCCTCCCGACACGAAAGTGATTCAGGCAATCAGTTATTTTTGCATGGGACAGTGATCTTCTCAAGAGACAGGAACCCTCCCCTTCTGAGCTTGGGGCTGGGCCTCGGGGCCAGGAGACTGGGTTTGGATCCCAGGACCCCCGCTAGTGGCTGTGCTGTCTGGAGCACTAGATTTGTTTCTCTGAGTCTCTGTTTCCTCACTGGTGAACAGAGGCAGTCACACTTCACCGCATCAAGAGGGGATTAAGTGATGAAAGTAAAAGGAGGCAATGTAGTGGCTGCACACAGTAGGGCAGCAGGGGGGGACGGACGCTCAGCCAGTGCTCATCCAGGGAGCCCGGGGGGCAGCCACTTCCATCTTCCGTGAGGGTGGCCCTAGGTTTTTCCCAACGTCTGCCACCCTGCCCGCCTCCAGGCCCAGCCCTGCTCAGCTCTGTTGAGACGTCCGTAGAGACAGGAACAACGCCTTCTGCACCGCCCAGGGGCTGGCCTTACCTTGGAAGTGGACGTAGGCATTGAAGAGCAGGGTGCTGTCGGGGCTGACCCCAGTCAGGGGCTTGCCCACCTTCCACCCCGTCACCGCATGCATGAACCTGTTGATCTTCTCAGCGGCGAGATCTGGGTCCGTGGACAAATCTAGTGAGCGTGGGAGGGTGACCTGGGCAAAGGGAGCCAGGCCTTGCACAAAGGGCTGCTTCAGGCGCAGCCCAGGGGCCGTGAACAGGCCAACCACCGTGGACAGGAGCAGCCTGGCCCGGCTGCTGGCCCCGCCCTGGGCGACCAGAAGGCCCTGGATGGTCTGCAGGGCGGACAGGACCTTGTGACCGTCCAGCCGGGAGGTGCAGCTCTGATCGTCCCCAGGGACGCCCAGGAACGCCTGTAGCTGGCTGGCCGTGGGGTCCAAGGCTCCCAGATAGAAAGAGGTCAGGGTGCCAAAGAGAGTCACCGGGGAGAGCACCGCCTCGCTGGCCGCGCTCCGCGCCTCGCTCAGCATCTTGTACATGTGGAAGCCCATGAAGTTCAGCAGCATCCCCACCTTGGCGGCCCTCAGCCGGTCTTCGGCCTCCAGCTGCTCGGTGGCTCGTACCAGCTGTTCCCGGAGAGCCTCCCCGTCCACGGGGGACGTCTTGGCCTGAATCGGGGCGGGCGTGAAGGTTGGGTCTGCGGGGGCCTCCACACTCGGTCTCTTCAGCTGGTCACAGCTGCTCTTGCTGTAGACGAGGAGGTGGAAGGGGTGTATGTACACCCGGTCCCCGGCGGCCAGGCCAGCCCAGGCCATGAGGCAAAGGACGGCGGCCCCCAGGCTCAGGCCAGCGGGAGCCATCGCGGACGGGGCGCTCGCTTCTGGGTACCCTGAAATATTTTGGGAAGGGTGAAAGGGAATTATTAAGTGCCCTCCAGCAATATTTCCTGCAGCCAATGAGCAGAGGAGAAGCCCATCCACGTCTACAAATTTCAAAGAGAAGAAATGGTTTC